GGTGCCTTCGGCAGCTCATTCAATTTGGCACCTTGCCCAATGTATTCATATCACCGTAACTGCAGTGGGTCCATTGTTCATTGCTTAAATGGATCCTTTAAACTGTAAAAACCTGTGTATAATTGCTTTAAATCTTTTTATATAACTCCTGTTACTACTTATTGTGTCATATTTCCTACATGCTTGTCTATAAAGACCCAAGAAATGCAAACATGACAAAAACTACCAACTACTATGACTACCAACAACTACCTAGTTTGTGATATCAGCATCTGCTGGAAGCGAACGTTAACTTGTCATCTACCAACAACTACCTAGTTTGCGATATCAGCATCCGCTGGAAGCGAACATTAACTTGTCATCTACCAACAACTACCTAGTTTGTGATATCAGCATCCACTGGAAGCGAATGTTAACTTGTCATCTACCAACAACTACCTAGTTTGCGATATCAGCATCCGCTGGAAGCGAATGTTAACTTGTCATCTACCAACAACTACCTAGTTTGAGATATCAGCATCCACTGGAAGCGAATGTTAACTTGTCATCTACCAACAACTACCTAGTTTGAGATATCAGCATCCACTGGAAGCGAATGTTAACTTGTCATCTACCAACAACTACCTAGTTTGAGATATCAGCATCCACTGGAAGCGAATGTTAACTTGTCATCTACCAACAACTACCTAGTCTGTGATATCATCATCCGCTGGAAGCGAACGTTAACTTGTCATCTACCAACCAACCAACATGACAGAAGTTATTACCATTATATTGTGGACAGTTTAAGAAGAAATCCTACCTTCATTGCTATACTGTTTCTATTCCATAATAGTTTGAATATATACAAATATTTACGACATATTGTTCAAACATAAAACTTGTCGACACCCTTCAGGGTTAAAAAGCGAATTAGTAAATCGTATTCAATAAGAAGGACTCGCATGACTGAATATCTCCTTCACAATATGACAAGCAGTGTATATAGTATGCTGGTATAGATAATGGATCCAGGCCTAGTTATTTTGTGAATGTATACTCTATTTTTGGGTTCAACAATTTTTCAAGTTAGCAAAAATGTTTCGTCATGATTTTTGAATAATGACTCAATTGTTTACAGGTTTTGCTTCTTACATGAAAAAAAACCAAACTTTATGTCTTAGGTTAGTTTGAAAGATTAAAGATTGGTTTCCTTTTCTTTCGTGTCAAATTAAGTAAACTATTTGATTATTTGGTGTTTCTAATGAATTATCACATATTCTTAATCATATCATTATGTTCTTATTGCATATAATTAAGAGTTTTAACCAATCATAAATGTCCATGTATGTACTGTCTGGATAAACAAAAAAAACAACTTTTTGACGTTTCTTGATCAGTCACACCTTTAAGCCATCTTTAAATTCAATTTTGTGTATTTTTTAAAAATGTCATTTAGGGGAAAAGAATACAGTGTTTCACAGGGTTTTATTGCAGACTAGGACAACAGTAATATACCCAGAAAATTGTGGGTCAAAACTTAATTTTTTCAGATAATATATTGGGAAAAGTCAGTTAAGGAGGAAATTCTCAAGATGATTTGGAAACATCTAACTGGCAAATACAGTTCAATCAACAGCCCTGGTAATTGGTTCTCAAAAAAGAGAAAGTGGTCTGCACTGTATCATTATCATTATGTCTTTAATGCCTTAGTTTTATTGGGAAGTCATTAGTAATAATTCCATCGATATTGCCATTTTACTTCAACTGTAATTTCCATTGACAGACATCTGCTGTTTTTCATTTTTCATGGTTGGCTGAAAGTTGGTACTTTCAGTTGGGAAAGCAGATTTGTTTTTCCTAAAGGCATCTTAAACTTTTTTGAATAAATTATTGATTGAATGAAATTTCATTATCAACTCACCTGCTAAAGATGATAGGCTTCCACGACGTGACAATCCAAAATAGACGCTCGGTGAACTCTGACCTGTCATAGAATGAGGACCAGGTGAGAGGGCACCACCAGTCATAGAATGAGAGGTGGTCAGTTGATGCCGTAAGGTGTTCAAACCACTAGATGGCGATGGAGGGCTGAAATAAACCAATCAAATTAATTAGTAATTAATTACATAACATCGAACTTAACTGTATTAGAATCTGCATTTTAGAACTTTTTGAAAAGTGCTCCAATGATAACCATGTATGAACTAGTACATTAATATTGTTGTTATTTATCTAAAGTAATTTCTGCTTCTGAAAGGAATTTCAGGATTATATTATTTACTAGCTAGATAAAGCGTCAAATAAGAATAATTAAAAGTGTACCTTCCAGCAGAGCTAGGACCTCGTGGCAGGGTACCAATGTGATTAGTATCAACTGACAGACCATCATGGTTGGAGAAATTCTGATGAAATTGTTGCTGCTGGACAGTGGAACTGGTGGTTTGGTATTGTTGCTGTCCTCCGCCGCCGTGGTGACTGTGTTGTAAAGTTCCTGTTGGACTTACAATATGGCCGCCACCTCCTCCTGCTTCAAAGAAACAATTCAAAATTCGAAATTTCTAGTAATAAGAGAGATAAGGGAAACAGTTGCTAAAGGTGACCTAATTTCCACCATTTTAAAATGCCTAACCTATAGAAGGCATTAGTCATATATATACCCTAATTTTAATTCTAAATTTCACTTTAGCTACTGTTTGGGTGGCTCTGTTATACCTGGTCTCAATTATTACTGAAAGAAACCCCTTCAGATTTGATGTGTTGCTTATAGGCACTCTATATTGATCAAGATATGATCAAGTTTTTGGTCCGATTTCAACAATGAACACAGTGTACATTTCTTTACTAAAACCTTTCTAATTCTTAACAGTTTCAAAACTTTGGAATTGGTTCAGTTTTAACTTTCGTGACGTTATTAAAACAAAAAATTGTTATTTACATATATCAAGACTAAAATCAACCCCTCAAAATGGCACACCTACACCTTTAAGACAAAGGGGCTCATGCTTCAAATCTTTGCAACTGGTCAAATTTGGATTTTCGTCACAATATTAAAACAAAAAATTGTGAATTTTGAAATTAAAAATGTAGCGTGATCTGCTATGATTTATATATATAGATATATATAGAATAAGCCAAGTCGTTATTGTTGAAAGTTGCAGTGACATTGTAGAAGTGATTCAGACTAGCTGTATATGTGACATTCTTCAACATGCTCTTATCAGATTCATCACTTCTAATTACATAATGTCGTTAATTTAGACAATTTCCCAGAGCACGAGAAGAAAGTATGACAGATTTATCATTATTTCATGACAAATGTCTTCATGAAAATAAATTCTTTTTTTTTTTTGTCTTATGTCTAAATTTCTCAAGTTTCTGGCAACAAATATTCTCACAAAATGAATCTGAATTAAATTGGTATAAGAAGAAATTTTCAAGTTTCCAAAAAGTTGATGAAGTTTGCCATATTAGTTTAATTTGCAATACGATTTAACTTGGTGAAAAGTTTAATGTCTTAGATAAGCTCTGTGATCAAGGTATAATGAGCATAAAATTGATTTTAGTTCACATTTATTGCATAAAATAAACCAGCAGTTGTCTAGGACAAATTTACGACAAAATCAGGTGTGATTGGTGAATATTGAGATTGGGTTTATGTTAGCGTGCCTTGCTGGCTTGTGTGCTGTTGATCCCAAGCATTTGTCTTGACCTAGCCTAAAGGTGAACCACTAGAATTTGCATCGTATGTTTCCTGTTTTAAGCAAAAATAATAAAGAAATTTTGTGCAAAGAAATGTGATATTAGTAAAAAAAGTAGTTTAAATTCCTTTGGCCCAATTTTAATATTTTAATCTACATGTTGCAAAATTGCAGCCGTCACCAAAGTGCAAAAAAAAACCCAAAGCAAAATAATAACATAAAAATGTTCGTTTCCTAAATATTTTCTAGCCAATCAGGAGATATATATGATACACATTTGAATATATGATATCATGCAAAAACAAGGGAGACAATTTCTACCTTTTTTTCTACGATGTTCCTCAGGTATTGAGGCGTAGATAGGATCAGAGATTCGGTAAACTGGTGGTACACCCCCACTATTTGACTCTGTCCGTATTTGAACATTAGAGTGTGTCACGGCCTGCTGGCTTGTGTTTGAACTGCGAGTAGTAGCATACTGACTGCTAGAATTGTTCTGCATGGTCACATGGTTTGTGGAAGTTAGGTTGACGGAAGCAGGTGCTACCAAAAATAAACCCAAGAAAAGCAAGATGCATTAAAATCAAAAACATCGCTATATTGAGGCATATCTAACTAACATGGCATCTTTTTGGTACCAAAAATGTTCTATTTCTTTCAGCATACATTCGCCTTGAGCATTAAAAAAGTTGACATGCAGAATCAAAGAGAACAATAAGGTGTGCAAGAAGCATAAGCATGAATTAAATGCAGTCAAAAACTCTGAAGCCAAAACCTGAAGCCAACAGTTAAGAATTGAATGTTGTGTAACATTTCAAGCTCAAGAAATACTCAATCCAGGCAAATGGATGCGAGTTAAATATGCCTCAAATATCAAGCTACAACTACATGCTAAAAGAACTAAAAAAATACTACTGAAAATTTGAAACATTTGGTGGTAAAATTGTTCAAACATTATTACCTGAATACTTAATTGTAATTTCTTAAAATTAATTCTCTTACTTACAACTTACAAAATTCAAATCTTCAAGAAAATTGTGCAAAATATCTCCAATATGACTAAATCAGCAGATTATCCGTTAACTTCTATATAAAAATATCGAACTTGTATATGGCTACAACAGTCGATTTGAAATTTGACAAGTTCACCACCAAATGTTACAAAAGTTAGCAAATACGAGAAAATAATGGAATAATATTGACACTTTCCACCATAATTCAAATTCTATAGATTTATCATTATATATAGAAATGTATTGTTTACATGGTAAATATTTTTATATATATTTCATTCAATGTTTCAACTTTTCAACTGACATAGAAATTCTGAGTTTTGTTGTTATTTAATGTTCTAATAGCAGAGGATACTTTGTAATAATATGTATTTTATGTCAGATTTTTTTTAGAGTTGAACTTCAAATATTTGAAATTTTAAATGAAAATACCTTAAAACATTTTCAATTTTTCCTAATCAGTAATTTACAGGTAATCCCTAATAAAAATAGACATCCCCTGTCTGAGTAAAACTTTGATTGATATAACTTACAATATGTTTTTTTATCTCACTAATATCCTCGATATGACTTAATACTTATACAAATATCAACCTCGTGCTATATCACTTCGACCCCTGACCTACAACCTTTCATCTTAATTTACATCATGAATAATTATCTTGTAATTATCGAGAAATATCACAGGGGATTTGTCACCTCTCACGCCTTATAAATTTCAAGGGAGATAACAGTCTACTGTGAAGTAGGCTGGGAAAAGTGTTTATTTTTTCAAATTCTAGACCACTACTTTCAAATTGCAATATATTTTGATAACATGAAAGAACAAAATTATTTAATTTCTCATATCTCTTTAAGTAATGACTTTATCATGAAAAAAGACAATTTTCAATTTATGAGCAAAAAAAACCCAACTATAAGCGTAGTTGATGAGACTTAATTTCAAATTCATCAAAATCAAGTTTTTAGACAATTTGTTACAGGTATTAAATATTTCCTTGTATTTTATCAAATAAGTAGATTATTTCCCTTGGGGTGTAAAAACATTTTAATAATTCTAAATCTTAAACATTATCTGAAGTCTAAAATTCTGCCACCTGTCATAAAATAGTCATTCAAATATATATATGTACAATCCAAAAATCATCAACGAAAACAGTTGATTTTTAGTTTATAACATGTGGTAACTAATATCAGGAGACGCACAAGAATCTACAGTTTTTTTTATCCAAATTAGATCAAACCCTATAAAACGAAAGATTTATTTCTTTTTCAAAATCCTTAGAAGTATGTTAATGAAAATATTATCATATAAACGTAACACTAACTAACTAATCACATCTTATCTTTTGCTCTGTGACCTAGGCCACTGCTTTCATTGTGACTCGTCAAGCTTATCTATTGCTCTGTGACCTAGGCCAGTGCTTTCATTGTGACTCGTCTCAATACACCCTAACACTACCTATGTAAAAAGTGAAGTATCTGTGCTATTGGTATGTAAGTGTATAAATATTTTGAAACAACCGTATGTACCAAGGGTTAGAATAGATGGTGCAAAAATAAAAGAATAAACAAACAATAAAACAAACTACTGTAAGGGTCACACAAGAGATTATTTGAATCAAACAAAGCAGTGATCTGTTTTATCTTGTATGGATGATCCTCGAGAAGCACTGTTGATCAAATTTGAACAACCACAAAGCTTATAATATCAAACAAGCTTTTTGGCAGCTAATCAGACATGACTGGTTCACTGAAGAGCCATTTATATCGGCCTATATTTTTGTAAATTTGCAAAAGGTTGGCAATTATGTATTTTTAAAGCATTAAAATTCATCTCAGATTTGAAAAAATCCGCTGAATAAAAAAATTGGATTTCGCACACACCAAAGTTCCTTGGCAGAGAAAGAAGGAATGGCTACTGTAGAATCTCTTCTATGACCCTTTGAACTAAGTAAATTGAACTATAATTTGACCTATGAACTTTGAGTTGAACATACCTGCATTAGCATATGGTGTCCTGGGGGAAACAGGGAAGGGTGGTGTCACTACAACAACAAACATGCATTTTGACACAACACAAAAATCATAAAAAAATTACTAAATATCTTTTACAACAAATATTATTATTTCAAAAATAAACAACACACATTGATGCAAAACTGGGGAAAAATGTGTCCATCATTGTCAACACCCCTTCTATTATTGTAGACCCTTCCTCACAGAATTCTATACTTCAGTCTTAAATAGTTCTATGCAGGGTTGGAAGAGTTTATTTTGATAATGCAGGGTGTTTTTTTTGCATGTAACATCAGTTTTAAACGAAAGACAATTCTCAAAATAAAATATTTTTCACACTTAACAACACAGATATTGTGATTGAGGTTAATTTTCATGCAGACTAAAACTTGTAAAAAAGTTTAACAAATTTATTAGAAAAATGTCTACTTTAAAAGGAATTTCAATCGAGGTTTATATGATAAAATAAAAATAATAAACATTGAGGAACAGGAAAATATGGCAGGATGAACATGATAAACTGTTTCTGTTTATTTAAACATGAAATATTTTAAATCTTTTTTTGTAACATTACATTATTCAGTAAATTTACTTTGAAATAAAATATTAAACACAATAGAGAAGACAAATGAAAAGTTTGGATTGTGGTTAACTTAACTTCTGTCTCTGGATAAACTACCTCAATTTAACATGGCAGTCTATGGACAAGGATTTTGTACAAAGAGTTTACTGGAGTTACAATTATCAGACTCGTGATTGCTGTGAACTGAGAAAACTTTCTAAAGACAACGTTGTAAATGAAAAATTGATAACTGTCAATGTCCCAATCCATCATTGGCTATATTATATCGAGGTGGAAAACTCCATTCATTTCATTTCATTTCATTTCATTTCCGAGGTGGAAGAAGCGAATCGCACGCATAATACCGAATTGGCTTATTGGTGCTTGAGATAATCTGAGAAAGACTGGAAGGTCAACATCAAGTTTCTTATTAAACAAATTAGAATTGTGAATTAGATTTGTTGTCCTGGAGGATTGAACAGAACATCAAACACACTGCCAAATTTTCTTCAGGACAAAAACATCAAAATTTTCGTTAAAACAAATCTTACCTGGCGATGTTGGGAAGCCTGGAGTGGATGGTCTGTTCAAGGTACTGGTTGATCCTGTCTCAGGTTCTAAGACTTGAACACCAGGTCCTATAGGCTGCAATGAGATTCTATCCTCTTCAATGACACTGATCTTTTTAGGTGCTGGTTGCTCCTTGACCTAGATTGAAGTTAAATATTTCAATTATCATCAACACCAATCAATTATTGATAATTTGACTTTTAATGTTTTCTAGCTTTAGTATATGTATCTTAGGCACTTATAGCCCTGATTACCACCATTCCACATTCCCACCAAATGATTGTGACTACTGTAATCTAGAAAAAACAGACCAGACGAGGAAGTCACTAAGGTGCAAACTTCATAGTGCATAGTTCCGTTATATTCAAAATTACAGGAGCCACAGATGTTTGAAATTACTATGATGCAAACAGAAGCTATAGAGTCTCTGATATATATACAGGCTAGAAAACCCCTATTTATTCCTCGAAATATAACCAGAATGTGCCAACACTTTTTCACTCCAATTAGATGTCAACTTGACAAAATAAATCCAATAAGTCAACTATTGATAATACCACTATTAACTATCCTAAGTTTCCAAAACGGATGACAAGGTGATCAAAATATATCCTAATCCATATATTATTACTTCATGAGCTAACAGAGGAGACAGAATTGTAACTCTATCTGACAATCTGACCTGATCTAAATGCCACTGGTTTCAATTCGTGAGAAATTTATATCATTCAGGAAACTCTGATGTAAACAATGTTTTAAAATGGAAAATGCAGAACCCACATTTACACACTTACAACATTAAATATTTAAAAACGAGGTTAATATGAACCATAATGTAGAATAATACTGTATTATAAACCAACAGTTCCACTGATATATACCAATCGGATTTCAATACAGCTCTAGATATTTTGTTTCATTTATTTTCTGTGGGTTATCTCATTCATTCCAGAATCAGACAAGAACCTTTCACTAATGACATTAAATTAGAGTATTAAATGAGATATTTAGCCACATAATATGTGACCCTGCACATCAAACCAGGTGTTAAATAGCATTTGGTGTATGTAGAGCTATTAGTATATTTGGATTCCTGGCATCATCAGCTACATTTTGATACCAATTCCATCTCAATAGCTTTCTTCGTTCAGAAGATATAGTCAATTTAATATCCACATTTGAGTCCCCTTAAATACTTCACTGCCAGCACATTACTAGGCAGTGTGACTTAATACCTGATGCCATGTGCGGGATCACATATGCTATTAATTTCAGAAATATTTAAAAACTACTCCAAAAAGTATGCTAAAACTATAATTCTTCAAGATGGTAATAAATAAATCGTACAGAGTGTCTGATTGGTTGAAAAATCCTTCATATGAATGTTGTTAGATCAAGAATAAGCCAAGCAACCCACAGAAAATAAATGAAACAAATTTTCTCAAGCTATACTGTAATCAAATTGGTTTAATACTTATTGGCAAAAACTATATGATGCTTGTGGCGTGCATACAACTTGTGGGATACAGTGAACTATATTTTTGAGGTGGTTAACCAAATAGTGACCACTGGAAAAGTGCACAAGGAAAGGACAAAAATATACACTGACAGGGGAGGTTTACAAAATAAACAAAAAATATTTCATGCAAAAAACAAAAACCAAACTTTCTGTCTATCAGGACTGTCAATAATGAATGAATGGAGTTTTACATCCTACTTTTCTACATCATGTGGTCTAATGAAGACGGGCAACGCCAGGCCAGGTACAATGAGGGAAATTTTGCTAGGACATCAGCATTAGCCAGATGCAGAGTGGTATGAGGTGTTAAATAAAGTAAGACTTCCTGAGTCACTTTCTTACAACTCAACTGGTCAGTTTACCAGAAGACATCTTCACAATGGTCAAGGTATGACGTCTTTATCTTATACCTTGACTGCAATGGTCTACTTTCTTGCTTCATGGTAGTTTGTGAATACAGCAATTTGATTGGATTGTACGCCAAAATAGAGCCCTGTATTTCAGATATAATTATTTCTACAGTTTTTCTGTCGGAACTCAGTTTCAAGAGCTTACCATCCAATCAAATTGCTGCATTCACAAACTTCAGAGAAACAAGGAAGTGGACCATTGCAGTCAAGGTGTGAGAAGGAGACATATCTTGACCATTGTGAAGGCTAACTGATTATCAGAAGTTGTTATAAAACTCACTATCATCTCCGTGGACTCTCATAATTTAGAACAAAATTGACAATCCTGTATTCCAGTACCATTAATAAACTTAAAGAAGCACATGAAAATAAATTCTTGACATCTCTAACAGACAGTATATATACAACTAAAACTAAGTATAAAAATGTGCAACATTGTTGACAATCAACTGAATGGTATTAAAATGTTCTGTCATTATTTTATGAGAGGTGTCAAATTACATATATCAGATATTTGAATTCTCTTGAATATTTAAATTGTTTTTTGAATAATTTGATACATATTTCTTTGAAGTCAGATATGCAACCATCAGTTGTGAGCCAAGTGACTATGATATCAAGGTGTGAGCATGTGCCAATTTACTCTGCATATTTGGAAGGTAGTTAAAGGAGAACATAGCCATCTTGACAAATATTGAGATTGAACTGTCTGTTAGGTGATGTCAAGAATTTTTCCAGCAAAAATAAAATAAATAGAAGATCTGGTTTACCAAATAAATTTCAACTAATTTAAATAACTTAATTTGTTTGGAACGCCTTTATATTCTTGATATATAGGACACCTTTCTTTAGTTGATACTATCAAGGAGGGAATAAATTTATTACCAATGTCCAAGATGTGTCCTTAAACTTCCATAACCGGTGAATACACTCAAACAAACAGTCTTGTGTTTAATGAAACTATATCAAGTCGACCAAAGTGACATATTTTCTGAATATTTGGTAAACCAGAAAAAAATAAATACAAACCAAACGAAAGCAGAACATACATAATTGTCCCAAGTTGGAGACAGACTTCTGGGCTGCATGCCATCCACTACAGAGTTACTCACATAACGATTTTCAAAATGTCGTGTCTCCGAGATAGTCTGTTGCTGTGTCTTACTGGCCATGATGGACTCGGAAGCTTTCTGTAATGTCCTTTCCAATTCATCCAATCTATTGGAGTCAAACGATTCATTCGGACTCTTTTCTGGAAAAATTCAGAGGATAAATCAATAACATAAAAAACACACTATAGCACTGAGGGGAAAAATTGTCTAAAATTCTACAAGCAAATACAAGTTTAAAAATTCTATTTCTATTCAGCGAAGAAAAGTTGTATAGTAACTCTTACTTTGTCTCTGATTCTGAAATTGTATTTTAATATAATGAATTTTTATATTGGATGGGACTCGATTGATTTACACAATAAACAATGAAATGAGAATAAAGGTGCATTGTTTTAGAAAATTAGAGTAAGTGCACAATGTAATAGGACAAACACAAATTGGTAGAGGGGAGGGGGGATTGCTGTAAAACATTGACTCTAAAACACAATATTAACACAGGGTTACACACACTGGCAATACTACTGGGGGGATTACTGGCCTTCTTCACAACAATGTATTCATATTTTTCATAGTTTTCCAGTCATTTGATTGGACCAATCTTTATCACTGATAAATTTTTGTTAATTGACCTAAATCTCTATAATAACTTTTGCCACAAAGTTTTTTTTCTAAGCTTTAAGCTCCAAATGATTGACAATTTTCGAAAAAAAATGTGGATTTATAATAATTCACATGTAATACTATGTAATATTTTTTGAATTTGATAAATTTTTGATGATTATCAAAATGGACGACAAGAATATTTTGATATTTTTCGGATTAAAATATTTACAAATTTGACCCCGCCCGACCCAAACCATATCAGTTTACACAGGATCACGTTAATTATTAAATTATATAAGATATAATAATATTATTCTGATTAATAATTTGATATATTTAAATACGCTTTGACTTGCCCCATCACCGTTTAGCAAGCGCTTTATCATGTTGAGCTGCAAAAATTGGTAAATTCTTTAAAAACTTAGGTCTTCAACTATTTCAGATGGATGCGTTAGCCGGACTTATCTTAAAAATATCTCTAATTCTAATATAATATTATTTTTGAAAAGAGTAACATTTTCCACAGTTTTTGTAATTTTTGTCATACGAGAGTGAAATTGGGATTCAAGAAACAGCAGGAATAAGACAAGAAGAAAAACGTGCATTCACAAAATAAAAGAAAAAAATTTAAAATTTAATGAAATCAAAACTCTGAATAAAATAAGGAAACCCAAACCAAAATATTGTACTTATAACCAAAAAATATTAAAAATAAAATATTTAGAAATTTTACGAACAAGCTACTAAAATCTACAAGCTCTAACTACAGACGAAAAAAATCTACAAAGCAAACAACTGAATTGCCCATATAGAAGTCAAGATGGAAGATGATTTTGTGAAATTTGGTTTCATTAATTTCATTATATCAAATATATTCCAAATTTTTTCAACTTAATATCAGTTTGGAGGAGTGAACAAGGTTATTTTCCTAATGTAGTGTAATTTCGAAGAAATGTGTGTTGGAAAAGATGGTACCACTAGCAAGTACAGCCAATATGTCTGGTCAAATTTTGATAAAGAATAGTAAGGAATAGAAACACAGTGAGAACATGCACTGGAAGCTTTTCGTTAAATATTCCACAAGAACACACTGGAATGATTAAGCAAGAGCACGCTGCTGAATTTATACCTAGAGTTCAAACAAAGCACACTGTTTTTGAGAAAAGTGAAAGCACACATGGGAAAATTTGTACCTAAGGATTAAGTGAGAGCACAAACAGGAAAATGTCATCCTAGTGTTTGAGTGAAAGCACAAACGGAAAATTTCTTCCTTTAGTTGAAGTGAGACCACAAACTGGAAAATCAAGTGAGGGAACACACAGGAAAATTTCTATCTAGGGATTCTGGGAGTGAAAGAGAAGATTAGAGGGCAAATCAGTTGTTAGAACTAAAAAGCATGAGGGGGGACAGGGGACACCACTAACTTACCCCCACCAGCTCGGTGGACGAAAACTTCCGTTACATAATGTTTCTCAACCTTGGGTGGTTGTGGTTTGGGTTGTGGCGGTATTTCTGGCGATGTCATTGTCCTGTAAGTCGTATATGTTGTGGTGCTGTGTGGGCCAGTGGGGGAGAGAGCCCTAGGGGACCTCGGAGGGGTAGAGTGACTGGAGCTATATGACCTAGGTATGATTTGGGGGTCGGGCTCATTCGCTTGAGGATGCCAGCTACTGCTACTATTAGATCTTGCGCGCATATAATCTTTACTACTAGTGCGGACAGGTGGAGCAACAGGTTGAAATCTCTGTTGCTGTGTTGGCGAGGGAGGGGGCTTATTCGACGTACTTTTGCTTCCATAGGAACGACTTTCAGTTGTCATGGTGTGAGTAGTGTAAGTTCCAGGAGCTTCTGGGAAGAAGCCATCGGTGCTATAGGCTCGTCTAGGTGGCTGTGGGGCGTAGGATACCTGGGCACTTGTTGGCGAGATGGGCCCGTTCTGACCTCGATAATTATCCATGAATTCCATTTCATCTGATTCGCTCTGGGCTCTTCTTGAATAAAACTTATTCTGTGCATTTTTAAGTTCTGACACTAATTGTTTTTCTTGTTGCGAGCGGAAGTCACCATGATCGCGCTTGCTTTGTAACTTACTCTGTTGCTGTTGGAGCCATGAACTCGTCGTCTCATTGTCTGATTTAAAATGGCTGCTATCTAGAGTGTGATAGTATGAGTCATTGTGTTTGTTATCGTAATCTGTTCTATATGGCAGCGTGTGAGTTTTCATGTTACTTTCTGTCTTCATCATGTCTCGTTCCAAAGTGTGATACGTTTTGGACTGATCTCGTGGAGAAGTTGGTGTATAAGTAAATGCGTTGCGAGGAATTCCACTTGGTTTTTTGTCAACTTCGTCCAAACTGGATGAGATCAGTAACTGACGATTCTCTTCAGCTCTGGTGCCTGGAAGTTTGTAACTGACTTCTGCACGTTGGATGGCAACACGATCGGGAGATTTCTGAGAATCAGTCGGAGAATAGGTCGTAAAAGTACGAGTTGTAGTCGTGATAGTTTTTGCGTCCTGATTTTTTGGACTTGATGGACTGGAGATGTAATTTTGTTGATTCAGAAGATCTTCCAGTAAATTATCAAGTTGGGTGGTTTCATCAAGTGGTTTCACAGTATCTTTGGGTAGGGTGGATCCATAATTTCCAGATTGAAGACTGGAGGTATAGTTAGAAGAGATTATCCCATTGGTGTTCGTACTATATTGTTTTGCAGATTGTTGGTGGTAACTTTGAGAACTTTGATGATTCTGAGTTATAAATCCTGGAAAAGAGAAAAGGTTATGTTAAAAACATTTTTCAAATAAATCACAAAGTAAAAAGACGGCACATGTAAATCAACACACGTATGAAATATTGATGAAAATGTTTATGTAGATTGAAGATGGCCATAACTCAACTAGAGGTTCTGAATTGAAATTGGATTTATTAATCCATTAAAATACAATCGGTGAAAAACTTTTGACACAAACTTTTTGGTTTTTTTTATACCAAATTTGTTATAATTTAAGTCATCTTCACTATGTCAAACTATTACAAACTTTGTCTTACACCTTGACTGCAATAGCCACCTTTTTGGTAAATGTGCCATTTGATTGAATTGACCGCTAGCGAATACAGCCAATCAGAGACCTGACAGAAAGTCTGTAAACAATAAGCCATAATGTTTATATTATTAGGTATAAGACGAAGTTCGTAATAGTTTGACATTGTGAAGATGGATTTAACCATTAATTGAGCTTTACATCTTAAAGTTTAAAATCCAAGAATTAAATTGATTTCCCTCATCTTATTATGTTTCTTCTAGTTTAAGAAGATGTGTTTTTTTTTTTTAAATATGTTAACACTATTGGATATAAAACTTATCATTAAGACAGTCAGAAACTGGGTTTGTATTTTTTTGGTAGTCATGGTAGAATTCTTCAAACGATAGTTATCAAAACTAATGCCCTTCTTCACATTTTGGGCAATCTGTTCCAATCAACACAATCCTTCGACAAAAAGTTATAGAAAAAGAGATTAATTTTCCCAAATTGGCCCATTCAGCAAAATTAATTAAGCGAAGTCATTAAACATCAGCAAGACCGAGAAATTCTCAATTTTACTATAAGAATTTACTCTAAATTCAAAATGGCAAACAAGCTCTAACATTTTTACATGCATGAATTCACTTTATATGTTACAAAGGATAAAAAAGTTGTAAAGACACATGGTGTGTAAATTTCCCTTAAACAAAGCCCTGGAGCCATTTTTACTGAAATTTTCACAAAAAATCTTGTCTTACCGGCACCAAGTTTCATTAATTCCGTCATTTTGAAGAAATTCCGATAAACGTCCAATACACCTCCGATACAATAAACTGGGTGATTGATTGTAAAGCTTCAAACTGTTATACGATACATATTATTGTGAGAGAACAGTCAAGACACATTAAAACATATCATGCTGTTTCTTGTCCCCGAATTTACAATCCTTAAATACTTTTCTAACACTGTACTGTTCATTTAAAAATTAATTTTTTGTCAAGTTTTTTGTTGTTGTTGTCGCGGCTAGCAGGCTGTGTAGAGTAACAATAGTTTGTCATCGTCAACTTGAATATTAATACATAGCTTTGATGTTTTAAAACTGGATTTATTGTCAATATGGTGGGAAAAAATTTAAAGTGACACAAGAAGAAAACAATGACGAAATATTTTTGTTACATTTATTCCCATTTGTGACTTAAAGCAGTGATACAACTAATTTTACGCGTCTGTCTCGCGAATATTTTACTGTGATAAATTTAACAAATACTGTCATCTGATGGGATAATAAAGTAAGATTCAAAATTTTGAGCTAGTGATTGGTCAATCAGATGATAGGAATACTAAGATTATCTTACGTTTCTATGACACTGTCATCTGTTATGTCTGTTTCAAAGTCAATCATCGTTTTAGAAATTTCAGAGAATCTTCAGTTATTTTCAAATTTGGATGGATTTTGAAATTTTAACCTACATCAGGAAATAACTTGTTGAACTCTATCTTTAAATAAAGTCTTTCTTGTGTTTTCTTAATTTTAAGAATTAATGTATATATAGTTTGCCCATCACTTTCTTATTATTAAGTGCCTGAGGACGGCGGGGGAAGCATGTCAAAACGTTGCTTAAAACTTTAACCAGTGATTGTTGTTCAATAAAGCTGTGTCTATATAATGTATCTTTAAAGGATAAAATTAGGCATGAGAAGATGGTATGACAAGGTTGACTGAATTTCTATGTTATAATATTATAGGGTTTTAAATACAAGTTTTTGATGGTCACATTCCTCCGATGTTACTCTCCCTTCCTCCATTGTTTACTGAGTTTTACTTCAAGGTAATACAGCTTGTCAAGCGAGTTAAATATCTTGTTAGCCAAGATGTGTTAGCCCTATCAGTGGTTATTTGAAATCAAGATTAAAATATATGGGATAGTTCGGTTTATAGCAAAAAAGAAACACCCATCTACAAGGATAACAACTTAGTTCACAAGGATTTTTTATTTCAGCTGGTCCTTAGCCAATCCTCTTTGCATTGATCTTGCTGATAACTGATAAAAGTTAATGCTTTTCACTTGAATCGTTTACAGTACTGATTTTTTACTTCAAGGTATTTCTAGCGAATAGTATTTAACATTGATCCAGTAAAAATAAAATAGTTGAAATGACCGACTTTAAAAACTATATATAAATATAAAAACAAGATAACAAGTTAGTGTGGGTGGACAGGGTTCAACTGGGACATCTCCTTAATAAATCTTTTACCTTATTCATAAATATTATCTTTTACGTGTAACAAGGTTGTGAGAAATAAGTATAGAATATCAAGGGTTGCTTTAGTTTGAGAAACTCAATCATGATCAACAGACCCCAAAAGATGATCTACATAAACATTTTCATCAAAATAGACATGGAAAATATACCTGAACATAAAAATAAATCCACCATCATGCAAATAAATTTCCACAGAAATGTGACACAATTTAGTACACAAAGGTGAACTGCCAAATATAACTTCATTAATATGCTAATGATATGCGCTGAATATTTAATTAATTTGTATGTTAATTCAGTGACTGATTAGTGACAAAACATTTATATTTGGTTCTGACACAAAAATAAAATAAATAAAGCAGAAAAAAATAAATTAAAAAAAGGCTTTAAATATGATGAAAATTGTAAGAAGCTTCTAAAAAAAAATATTAATTTGATAAAAAATTTGAAAAAGAGCTGAACTATCTACTTCTATTTAGTTTAAAAATCTAAAAAAATCACTAACAAATTTGAGAAAAGCCTAAAATGGTCATTCAAGAGAGAAGAATATTGATACTTTGTTTAACGCTTCTTACAATTTGCACCAATGAGAAAGCGTAAACAAAACGAGACAACAAGTCACCATGGTGATCAGAAGTAGAGGATATACCAGAATCCATGCTTGAGTTAATCGAGTTGCCGTTGACAACATGAGATGTAGGGCCGTTGGACAAAAGTCTGGAACTGGACGTTGAAGTCGTTTCTTTTTGTTTGTTCACTGTAGCGTATAAACTTCCATCAACTGGACCTTTCGAATGATCAACTGGCTGATGGGATACTCGTAGTTTACCACTGGGATGGAGGCCGTTTTCGTTCGCTACAAAAAATGACGTAGGGAGGTTGGAAAGAGTTGACCCACACACAAAAATAAATACACAAAATTAAAATAGTAACCGTTATCCACAAATAAAGATGTGCTACAAAATTTGTGACCAACTTTGTTAGTTTTATTTCGGAATATAATCTAAGCTGCCCTCAGGAAAATCATAACTGGACTTCTAGACAAATGATTGATTGATATTTGTTCAAAGGTTGTGCTTAAAAAATAATTCGAAATATTTGTATTATTGCTTTTTCCTCAATTTTCCAATACCCGCCCCACATTCAGTTGTCTAAACTCAAGGCAGGTATCAAGATCTACAACTATATCAAACAATAATCTGCAGATCAGAAAGAAATTGTTCTAATTTTCAGTTTTTTCTAACAAAGAAGGCCACAGAATCTATAAGCTAAAAGCAGAAAAGAAAAGACTTAAAGAATAATTTGCTAGTAAAAATCATGCTATTGTATTATCAGATCAAAATTGTCATCTTCTGATGCTAAATCAATGGAGTGGTCTCAAGAAGCCATTCCAAATTATTAGCATAAAATGGATGAACCCTTCACCACAAGAAAATTGAAAGAAATAAGCATATTAAGAGTTCTGATATTAAGTTACTAAAGATGAAAATGGACTCGTCTGCATTTTGTTTCCAGAACATACTTGATCAGTATCATTGATAGTGCTGGGTATCATCAATCATGCCATGATACAATACAATCGCAATACATATCGCGATTGGGGTAATGGGATAAAAGATTAACATTTTATATTCGAAGTTTCTGTATATATTATTTCATAACTTTATAACTGTGATATTTGGTAGTTGATAGAAGTGGTAAGCGTCCACTGTCTTATAAAAAGTTTCTATATATATTAATTTATAACTTTATAACTATGATATTTGGTAGTTGATAGAAGTGGTAAGTGTCCACTGTCTTATAAATAGTTTCTATATATATTAATTTATAACTTTATAACTGTGATATTTGGTAGTTGATAGAAGTGGTTAGGGTCCACTGTCTTATAAATAGTTTCTATATATATTATTTCATAACTTTATAACTGTGATATTTGGTAATATAGTTGATAGAAGTAGTTAACATCCACTGTCTTATAAATAGTTTCTATATATATTATTTCATAACTTTATAACTGTGATATTTGGTAATATAGTTGATAGAAGTGGTTAGGGTCCACTGTCTTATAAATAGTTTCTATATATATTATTTCATAACTTTATAACTGTGATATTAGGTAATATAGTTGATAGAAGTGGTTAGCGTCCACTGTCTTATAAATAGTTTCTATATATATTAATTTATAACTTTATAACTGTGATATTTGATAATATAGTTGATAGAAGTGGTTAGCGTCCACTGTCTTATAAATAGTTTCTATATATATTATTTCATAACTTTATAACTGTGATATTTGGTAATATAGTTGATAGAAGTAGTTAACATCCACTGTCTTATAAATAGTTTCTATATATATTATTTCATAACTTTATAACTGTGATATTAGGTAGTTGATAGAAGTGGTAAGCGTCCACTGTCTTATAAATAGTTTCTATATATATTAATTTATAACTTTATAACTGTGATATTTGGTAGTTGATAGAAGTGGTAAGCGTCCACTGTCTTATAAATAGTTTCTATATATATTAATTTATAACTTTATAACTTTGATATTTGGTAATATAGTTGATAGAAGTGGTTAGCGTCCACTGTCTTATAAATAGTTTCTATATATATTAATTCATATTGTTATAACTGTGATATTTGATAATATAGTTGATAGAAGTGGTTAGTGTCTTATAAAAAGTTTCTAACTATATCAGTGAAAAATATTGTTATATCATAAAACAAGTTAAAAAATATTTGCATTTTTATGGAATAAAAGGTAGCGTTGCGATACTATACACGCATCATGGGGATATATATTTGAAAATTTAAATATTGTGACCTTTTTTAGCTCAATAACTTGCAAAAGCGTTTTTACACGAGACGTTTTTCTGTTAGCTACCAAATCAAGGATTCTACCATAGAATTCTGAACTAGATCATGTGCACAGAAGAATAAAAATAATAACTGAATTGGCAACTGTGCTATTGTGCTGGTCAGACAAAACAAAGGTTGGTTGCTTAATAACAGCATTGTATTGAAATTTGGAAACAGAATGCAGACGTGAACTCACTGAAGAATGATTTAAGACTGAATCTCTTTGTAAAAAAAACTTACTGTCTATTTGACCATCAGCTAATTTATTAAAGTTTTCAAACGAATCTGATCTAACGAGTTGATCATCACCTTCATCTACTGGTACTGTTACATCAGATTTAAAACCAGTTACTGCAAAATATATCAGTTTATAATATAACAGAGAGTATAACTAACTAAACCCAGCTGATATTCCCTGTTGGTAGGTGAACAATCCAACCTCCCGTTCAAAAAAAGTTCCCTTCGAGTAGCATAAAACTAACCTTTTTAAACCCAGCTCAAGTTCCCTGTTGGTGGGTGAACAATCCAACCGGCGTTCGTAAAGAGTTCCCTACCAGTAGGGTAAAACTAACCTGTCTCATGACAGTCTAAACCTAGCTCACGTTCCCTGTTGGTGGGTGAACAATCAAACACCTGTTCTTGAATTTGTTTAAACCCAAAGGATTAAGGGATTACACAAGCCAATTGGAATCCTTAAAAGGTTTTTTTTATAAGAGAATGATAGCCTGGAATTCGTCACAGGACTTTCAGTCGTTAAATTAGTGGTGTATTTTCCACCCTGAGAACTTTCCAAAAGAAAACAGATTTATAACACAGCAATATACTTGTATTGTAGACAGTTAATAACACAGCTTTACAGGTGCTTGTTTTATTGGTTTATTAGAAATCTCAAATTGTCTTGACTGCAATTGTGGTCAAATCGCAATCTATTGTGCTTTGTCTATACAAACTCATGATCAAAATCACGGCTCAAAAGTTTGGTGCTTCACTTAAAGATGACTAACATACAGATTAAATAAACACTTACCAGAAACAAATGCATCAGATCGTGGACCAAAAACAAACTCAACTTTTCCGACTTCTGGGAAACGTGGATCTGGAAAAGAAAAAATTATCCAATAAAGTTTAACACTTCAATCTTCGACTTATTTAAAATGTTGAAAAAAGACCTTGGATTTTGTTCATTCATTCATTCATTCATCTATTCATTAAGTCATTCATTCATTCATTCACCCATTCGCCTAATCATTCATTCATTCTCCCATTCATTCATTAATCTATCTTAGATCATTCGTTCAGTTCATTCGCTCAGTCATTCATTCATTCATTTGCTCATTCGCTCATTCATTCATTACCCATTCATTCATGGGTTATATAAAGCTTTTATTTGCCAAATAATTTACTATGATTGGCTATTTTTTTTAATTAAATTGAACATGGTGTAGTTTTAATAGATTTAATTTGCCCTCAGTAATTTTACATGTTATAATACAGTAGTTGATTTCTAATTGACTAGAGGAAGTAACAACACATGGTATACTATTATTATTATTATTATTATTATTAACTAACTGACTGACTGACATGCCAACATGTGGGATTACTTGGTTAACATTTATTAATTATGATCTTAATTACTGCCAACTTCTCATCATCTTTCATTCATTTAATTATCAAGTCTGTTACAGCTCTAATGTTGACTTTCATCAGTGCAGTAGATATTATGTTTCACAACCGGATGTTACAGCTTTAGCTTTTTTTTACATTTATCAGTTTTTAATGTAATTATGTAAAAAATTTAATAAACAAATATATTAGTTATGGGGACTTTGATATAGATGCAGCCCTGATAAACCTAGTGGCTGAGAGGCATCAGGTGTTCTGGAAGCAACAGGATGCCTTGCCTTAATACCAATAAAAGATTTACTTATACAGCCTTTAAATGTTTACTGTTTTTCATTACCAAGTAAGACTGAAAGTGTAGTCCCTATCCAAAATAATATTGGATGGTTAGCTGTGTTAATCATATATTCAGTAATGTTTTATAATAAATCAGTGAATATTTTCATTCACTACAATAATTAGGGTAATACTGACTTGAAATGTCATAGAATAATTTACAGCAACAACTTGGTATACTATCACTCCATAATAATATTTACTCTTCAATAAGACAGGATTTTCTGTTTTTCTCCAGCAAATTGTGAGTAGTGGGTATGGAGTTGAATTGTCGTCTGCAAGGTGATAAGGTGCCAATGCCAATGTTTAAATTCCACCTCATGGCAAGTTAGTTTCAGATAGCTAGACCAGTGCTCTATTCGGTCTGCTTTAAACCCTTACAGAAATATTAAGTAAGCAATTTGTGCCCACTTTTCTGCTTGGACAAGCAATGCCATCCTGTATGCAATGGGGGAAATTTGCCAGAACAGTAGTATGAGTCTACTCTTGTTCAATTTCCAACATTCAGAGAATAATAAAAGGCAATTTTATGGCACCACAAGTTCACTATACTTCTGTAGAAGTTTCAGCTTCCAGCAAATGCTGATTGCACGGACAAAAGTGGCACCAGTGATTCTGTCTTTGGCGATTTCAAGGTACCACTAGTTCACCAGTTCTGTAGAGTGTTTCAGAAGTAGGTGGCACCTATAACCAGTAAGCTATATATAGCTATAAGATAGTCAGAAGGCAGTAGAATTTATTTATAGTAACACAGGATATTTTCTTACATTCAGTACTTCTCTCTTCTTACCTCTCAACCAACTCTGATTTATTTTCAATCTCTGGTAATATTTTTAGATTTTAGATTTAATTTAGATTATTTATAACAATAATTTATTTTACCAGAAACAGATTTCTAGATCATGTTTTGGTACAATGTATTACTCAAATAGTATTTCATTAATACATTTCATATAATAAAAAAATTGAAAACAATATTTGCATTAATAACACAAGTTATATGGATATACTACTTCTAGTTTTATTACATACTACGTTTCAAAACACATACAGGTAACATTAATAACACAAGATATATAGATATACTACTTCTAGTTTTATTACACACTATGTTTCGAAACGTTATCAAGTTACCTGCATGTGTTTCGAAACGTAGTATGTAATAAAACTAGAAGTAGTATATCTTGTGTTATTAATGTTATCTGTATGTGTTTTGAAACGTAGTATGTAATAAAACTAGAAGTAGTTTATCTATATATCTTGTGTTATTAATGTTATCTGTATGTGTTTTGAAACGTAGTATGTAATAAAACTAGAAGTAGTATATCTATATATCTTGTGTTATTAATGTTACCTGTATGTGTTTCGAAACGTAGTATGTAATAAAACTAGAAGTAGTATATCTATATATCTTGTGTTATTAATGTTACCTGTATGTGTTTCTAAACATAGTATGTAATAAAACTAGAAGTAGTATATCTATATATCTTGTGTTTTTAATGTTACCTGTATGTGTTTCTAAACATAGTATGTAATAAAACTAGAAGTAGTATATCTATATATCTTGTGTTATTAATGTTTACCTTCCTGTTTCTATATGTCTTACAAAGATAATATTTGCATTGCAGAAACAGAATTTTCAGCTACCTATGGTGTGTTTTAAAATGAAAATTCAAAGTTGTATACAATATAGGGATAGTTAAGTCAACATTATTATCATTTCCCAATAAATAGATCTGGAAAACCTATATTTAGACCTAACTTCAACATGGAATTTAGATCTATTGTCTGTACCCCCCACTTTATTTTCAACAAATCTAAATGTCTACCTTTTTATTCCAAAATATGTGTCAGAATGCACAAGATCAATTTATATTTTCTACGATTTTCTTGAGAGAACCCTCTAAGACGCTCTATAAGAGGCTTGCAACTATGACACCACCACAGAGTAGCCAAAATTTGAATTTAGCCCCAGCAGTTATCCTCCCATTGAGGCAGTCTGCTCCCTATTTGTACCCCAAACCACTGCTGGTCAAGCCAGAATCTATCAGTTTAAATCTCTTAAAGGCCTCACTGTTGTCAAGAAACAATTCTTAATTTGTCATATAAATAGCGATCACTATACCAGAGTAAAGGGTTCCTCAACTTTTTTAAACACAAAACTACATGCAAGTTGGATATCCAAAATTTATCAGTTTAAAATATTTTTTTCACATTATTCCTCAAAAAACTACCTCAAATACATTACAGAATTCTCCAAAACACAATACAATCGTTGTACAATATCTCCCTTGTTGTCCTGTATATCACAAAAACACGGATTCCCAGGTTCTAGTACAATATAACATTGTTTTACCATAATTAACTATAAACACAGATAGAAAAATATGCATATTAACGGATTAAATGCGCAGTTGGGTAATATATTTTACATGTCAAATACTGCGGTTAAAATCTAAAGATATGGTCCCTCTTTTTCATTTCTATTGCTTGACAAACTTTCAAAATATGAATGGATGTGTAAGGGTTTGAAAGCTGACACTGTTCCATGCATCAGAATTTTGTTACCCTGGGTCAGATTCGAACTGGTAACGCTCTGGCAGCACTTGACAATATTCAAACATATGAAAGGAAGAAGGAAAGAGTTCAAAGGCTACACAAAGTGGCATCAGGATATTTTTTGCTTTAGTAGATTCTTACCTTTGGAAGGAAGCTTATCACCAAGCAAATGACAAACCAACTAAGAAATTCACTGAGTTATGTGGTCAACCAACAGATGTCAATAAACTGACTTAGAGACATCAACGCTGGATATATTTTTGTGTGCTCATTGTACAAAGGGACAGATGCACCATTATTTTTGACCAATCATACCTTAGTTTCAGAAACGGAAATTTTTTAGGTAAGCCAATCAGTAATTGTGCTCATCGTCGAAATTTGAGCCTTCAAATCCATGTGTATCCAAAATTATCTGTGATGGAATGTTAAAATGGGGACTTGTCAATTTAATATATAAAATATAGTGAGTAAAATTCCTAGTTTGAATTATGCAATTTTCGTACATTTTTAGTACTTCTGAAGACTATTTACATATATTCAAGACTAAAATTAATCCACCAAACCTGTACCCTTTAAGATTCTTAAAAACAGGCGGAGGAAGCCAACTTTAATGTAATAGTAGTAATCCTGGGGTCCGTAGTAATAAATTATAATATGTAAATTAGACAAACAACACCCAATATAGACAAATATAAACAAACAGTAGGTCATTCAGGGACATACTTTATCAAAATATCACCCAGGGTAAAACTAACCTTTCTCATGACGGTCTAAACCCAGGTCACTTTCCGTGTTGGTGGGTGAACAATCCAACCACCGTTTGTAAAGAGTTCACTACCAGTAGGGTAAAACTAACCTGTCTCATGACAGTCTAAACCCTGCTAACGTTCCCTGTTGGTAGGTGAACAATCAAACGCCTGGCGAATTCTGCTTCTATACTATTCTCATTTCACTCCAACACTAGGTTAAGAAATGAAGTGGAATTTTACATCCAGTCTTAAATAACTATCATTCAAAACTGAACCATCAAAATGTTAAAAATAGTACCCAAGTACCTCATTGGCATTATTAGTTGTACAAACTCTCTGTAAGAGATGTACAAAGATCTGAAACACCATTATTAGCTTCTTATCATTATGTAGACTCTCTGGGATGCAGACAAACAAACATCAAAAAGCATTATCATTTATATGTACTCTATGAAAGAGACATCTACTTCATAAACTTTAATAGAGTGTCTTCAGACAGTGGCAGAGCCAAAGGGGGGCAGAAGGGGCATCCAGTGGGTTTTCCAGGCAAAAATCTCATAAGTAAGTTAAAGCAATCTCAGATATCTCGCCCCCTCTCGGACGTAAACCTGGCTCCGCCACTGGCTTCAGATGTCAAATAATGATGAGAATTGCGTGACACTCTGATCAATGATGTAAGCAACCGTAGCTTATGATTTTAAGAACAAATCGAACTAGGAATGTTGAGCTTTGAGGAGAATATCCTGTTATTTGAAAACAAAATTCAACACCTGTCATTATTATATTTGCCGCCTATTAACAGATGCCAAGGTGACTAACCTTTAATAATGCTAAATTTAAAGTCAATTTTAGCCCTGTTCTTTCCCCCTTTCAGTGATGGAGGTCACATGGAAAGAAACGTCTAATCATTTGGATGGGACAATTAACCGAGGCCAAGTGTGCTACAGGCTGTACATGTTAAAGATCCCTTGACAGTTGGAAATCTAAACAGGGTAAACATTATGTTGGCGTAGGTTAGAATAGATATGGCTCATTCTTAGTGTAATACTATTAATTCAAATCCAACCTAAGCATTTCTGTGTACTGTAGTACAATCAGAGCCCCTGTCCTGTTCACCTCTTTGAGGAGGTGATTAACATAATGGAGTACTGGCTTAAGATGACTCAAAAGAGATCAGTCTTAAGTTTTAAAAATGATATCGCAAGAACAGATGTTGCTCAATATAAAGGTGGTACTAACAGTCTAAAATCCAACATGAAAGATTCTAGTAGTACCACACAACACCTGTCATTATCTTAATAGCTAACTCAAAAAAATTC